GGTCTGGTCATGCATGATTGGTAGGAGTGTAACTGACCGTAAATTATTTAAAAAGAAATTTACTGTCAATTACAGTTGCAAATAATGCATGCAAAATTTACTTTTTTGAGCTTTATATCATGTTGTAATGTCATTCCCTCTTCAAAAACATACACAGAGTGTTGCTTTGACTCATTCTCGCATGTTTGAGAAATCCTTGAATCTGTGGCCATGTGGAGCTGCCAAACATTTGCTGGTACAAAGCACTGCAGATTTATACAAAGTTCCTCCCTGGAGCTCAGTCTGCAGTCAAGCTCGCCCTCCGAAGTATTGTCTGAAGGTGTGCTGAAGTGGTAGTGTTGGAAATGGTAGGAAGTTCTTAAAGGGATCCACGATTAGTTGTAACATTAGACTTTATTTCATAAGCATTTATTTTAACTGTAAAATAAAGACTGTAAAATAGGCTGTTTTTTATATTATAAGGACTACATGGACTGAGCCATTTTATTTACACGCAAAGCATTCTGGGTAAATGATGACATCGACAGGTCCTCGGTGTGAGGCTACTAGCGAGCTATATCCACCCTGAAGGTTAATCTTATACAATATCTGATGATCGACTCTTTTAAATGAAACCAGAGAGCGTTGACAGAGAGGAGAAGGTAGAAATGATTCAGCCTGTAACTGAAAATATAGATGGAGGACAACGGAGCTGCTTCATGGAAGAAGAACCTCAGCTTAGCCTGTTAGCCTTCGCCCTACCGCCAATGCTATGTTGCCTTATATGTTTTAGCTTGGTGCTAGCATTACAAACTAACAAGCTAAACTGAGGTCCTCCATCCATATTTTCAGTTCCAGGCTGAGTCATTTCTACCTTCTCCTCTCTGTCAACGCTCTCTGGTTTAATTTAAAAGAGTCGATCATCAGATATTGTCCAAGATTTACCTTCAGGGTGGATATAGCTCGCTCACACCGAGGACCTATCCAGGTCGTCATTTACCCAGAATGCTTTACGTGTAAATAAAATGGCTCAGTCTGTGTTAAAATATATTTTGAAAAATTATAAAAACTAAACAGTATTTTTAGTCTTTATTTTACAGTTAAAATAATGTTTACCAAATAAAGTCTAATGTTACAACTAATCAGTGGTCCCTTTAAAGGGAATGCAAATTTGTGTTTTGAGATATACAGCATTTTCACAACAATGAAAAAACGTGCAATAGGTTGCCTTCAGGCCCAGGCCACCCTTGAAAAAGAGATCTGAGATCTCAACAGGACTTGCC